GCAGTGGTATCAACGCAGAGTACTCCTGCTGCTACAGTACCAGGAGCGATATTCTCTGCATGGCATAATTTATCTGGTGCATTGTTAGCATATATTTTTGAAAATTACTTAAATCCAAAATATCATCCTGATTATGTGAAAAAGTAATTTCTAATTTAAATCATGAGCCGTCCAGCTTCGACTGAGGCGGCTTTTTGAATGGGCTGGGATTGACAGAAATGAGTGGTAATAGTAAAATATGAAGTAAGTTATTATTGTTAGAAAGAGGGATTTTAGTGATAGATATTGGCAAGATGCTTATATATTTGGGGATTATTTTGGTGGTAGCGGGATGTGTCATTCATTTTGGCGGCAAGGTTATACCATTTGGAAAATTACCGGGAGATATCAATATTGTAGGGGAAAATAGTTCGTTTCATTTCCCTGTGGTGACTTGTATCATCATCAGTATTGTATTGAGTGTGATAGGAAATATATTTTTTAGATGATAGTAATTGTAGGACGGTGCAAAATGAAAGAAGAATGTATTATTTGTAAAGCCCCTTTGGAATATCTGGAAAAAGATGAAATGATGAAGTGTGTGATTTGTCATAAGAAGGAACTTAGCAAGACCAGATGTAAAGAAGGGCACTATGTATGCAACGAGTGTCATACTAGAGGCATGGATGCAATAATTAATATTTGCTTGCAGGAAACATCAAAAAATCCAATAGAGATAATTAGAAAAATGATGGCAGCACCATTCTGTCACATGCATGGACCAGAACATCATGTCATGGTAGGAGCGGCATTATTGACTGCATACAAGAATGCTGGCGGTGCTATAGATTTACACGAGAAATTGTTAGAAATGATAAATAGAGGCAAGGCTGTTCCGGGGGGAGCCTGTGGTTTCTGGGGTGCATGTGGAGCAGGCATCAGCTCTGGTATGTTTGTATCAATAATATCTGGCGCTACACCATTGAAAATTGAACCATGGGGACTGTCGAATAAAATGACAGCAAAATCCCTTGAAAATATAGGGCGTATCGGCGGACCAAGATGCTGTAAAAGAGATTCATATCTGGCTATACTGTCAGCAATAGATTTCGTAAAAGAAAATTTTGGTGTAGAAATGGATAAAGCAGATATAAAGTGTATTCATTATCATAGAAATAATCAGTGCATTGGGGATAGATGTCCATTTAGAAAATGATTTTATGTAACGCATTATGTTAAGAAGAATAAATTTAACAATATTATTTTTAGGGAGATGTAATCAATGAAAAATATATTAATGGTTTGTCATGGAAATATTTGTCGCTCCACGATGGCTGAGTTCGTTATGAAGCATTTAGTGAAGCAGGCAGACTTAGAGTCAGAATTTCATATCCAGTCAGCAGCGACTCATCGTGATGAGATAGGTTCTGATACACACTATGGTACGAAGGAGATTTTGAGAAAGAAAGGTGTTCCATTTACTCCACGTCATGCGGTGCAGATGGTTAAGGCTGATTATGATAAATACGATTTGATTATCGGTATGGATAAAGAAAATATGACATACATCAAACGTATTATCGGAAGTGACCCAGAGAACAAGGTTCACATGCTTATGTCCTACGCAGGGGAAAATCGTGAAGTGGCTGACCCTTGGTACACTGGTAATTTTGATGTGACCTACAATGATGTACTGGCTGGCTGTACTGCTCTTTTAAAGGAACTTTCATAAAGGAAAATTTGTATGATGGAAGATTTATATATGCAAGAGCTCATTGATATCTGGTGTTTACCATCTACTCTGCTGTTTTTGTGTATTACGGCAAGCTTTAAATGGGATACATATTTAATTCGCTTATTTAAGTTTTTGGTGAAGGAAACACCAGCAAAGGTTGATGATTATATATTAGCAGCAATACATGTTCCTGCTAAGTATGCTATGTGTGCCTGTGGTGTGAAGCTGTTTTTCATGTTTTCGCCCTACAGCGATACGGAAATGATAAAAACTCCCATTAATATTATTAATTATTTTCTTATTTACTGTGTGCTGTGGTCTGTGTTTAGATTGGCAAATTATACTAATGGTTCAGCTGGGGAGATTATTGATACGGATGAAGAGAAGGACAGCTTTATTCATTATTTGCTGAAGAAAACCACATTGGAGCATGATGAGGCGGTAGCGAATATTCTTTCTGCGGCTATACGTATTCTTATTTGTGCATTGGGCTTTTATATTTTCTGTAGTGCTTTGGGCGTAGATTTAAGCGGCTTTGTTGCATCTTTAAGTATTGGTACAGCGGCTATTGCTTTTGCGGCTAAGGATATTTTCAGCAATATGTTTGGCAGCCTGGTGATACTTTTGGATAAGACCTTTAAAAAGGGCGAATGGATTGTCTGCGGTTCTATTGAGGGGATAGTAGAGGATATTAATTTGCGAAGTATCTCTGTACGTACCTTTTCTGGAGATGTGATTCTGGTTCCAAGTGGAAGCTTTACCAATGCTCCAGTTATAAATAGAAGTCGTGGTGATCTTAATCGAATAGATTTGAATGTATCTTTGTCCTTAGATACAACCACAGAGAAAATAAATACTGTTGTTAAGGAAATTTCTAATTATCTGTATCAAAATGATAAGTTGATAAATGGCTACAACAATGTAAGAGTATATTTGCGTGAAACTACTGAAATAAGCCATAAGCTCAGGATTATTTTCTTTACAGATTACCAGAATTTTTTGGATCAAAAGGAATATTCTCTCATAGTTAATGAGGTTAATGTGGCGATAGTTGATATAATGCGCAGTAATGGTGTTAAATTTGTATTTGAAGACAGCAATATTGATAAATCCATGTTGGCATTGAAGGGGAATATTTTTGGTAAGCATAAATCTACTTAGTATGTGCGTGATAGGAATGTATATTTGATTGTATAGCTCATTTGCAGTATACAATCTTTTTTTATTTTCTAATGCAATTTTAATCTTTGTATGATACAATAATGCAGAATAATACTATGGTTTAGGAGCGGATAGCTATGCGACATAATATACAGAATTTAAATAATGGAAGTATGCGTAAGGCTGGTGCAGTCTGTCTTGTTCTTCTTGCTGTCATGGGGTATGTTATCTATGGTGGCAAGGAGGAGAAACGCGGTCCGATGCAGCAGGGCGTTCCATTGGTGCAGGTGTATGATGTGAAAAAGGGGGATATGGCTCGTCATATCGTGCTTTCGGGACAGGTGGTTGCTGATGCGAATATCGTGCTTGCTCCAAAGTATGCAGGCAGGGTGACAGAGGTAAATGTCCAGCTTGGTGATGTTGTTCATGAGGGGGATATTCTTCTGGTACAGGATACAGGGGATTTGGATATTGCTATCCTGCAAAATGAAGCGGCGGCCAGTGCTTCTGGTGCTGATGCTGTTACTGAGGAGGCTGGCTTCTACGCTGATTATGCAAAGGCAAAGGCGGCACTGGATATTCAGCAGGCTCGCTTTGAACGCCAGAAGTATCTTTTTTCCATAGGAGCGATTTCACAGGATAATTTGGATAGTGCTGAGGAGACATATATCACCAGCAAGGCTGCGTTTGAGGCTTTGGAAAATCAAGGCGGAAATGGTGTTCCTGCGGCAGTGCTTTCCAAGCAGTATACGGCAGAGAAAAATCGTCAGGCAACAGAAGCGTTACGCAAGCAGAGAAGTGACATGATACTTCGTGCGCCTCGTGATGGCGTTATTGGCTACAAAAATGTTGAGGTTGGCTCATATCTTACAGCTGGCAGTAAGGTGCTGACTTTGGTAGATAACAGTCATGTATATGTGGATTGCCCATTGTCTGAAAATGATGCGGCTGTACTGGAAATTGGTATGTCAGTTAAGGTTTTCGTAGATGCTCTTGGTAAGGAGTTTATGGGAAAGCTGGTGTATGTCAGCCCGTCTATGGAGGATGGGAAGACTTATACAGCACGTATTTCTCTTGATAACACAGATGATAAGATTAAGGCAGGGTTGTTTGCCCGTTCCAGTATAGATATTTTCCAGAGGAAGGATGCTATCACTGTTCCGAAGGAGGCTGTTTTAGCGAAAAATGGCCGTACCTATGTGTTTGTGCTGATGGCGGATAATACAGTTCAGCAGCGTGATGTTACTATTGGCTTACTGAATGATACTGAGGAAGAAATTCTTTCTGGCATAAATGATGGTGAGCGTGTAGTACTTACCAATCAGGATAGATTGATGGATGGAAGTACGGTACGGATTGCAGGTGAGGAGAAATGAATTTAACTAGATTTTCCATATTGCGGCCTGTGGGTATTTCCATGATTGTTGCCTTTTTCGTGGTGCTGGGCATGTTCAGCTATTACCGTATCGGTGTGGAGCTTCTGCCTGCTTTGAACATTCCTTATGTGACGGTATTTGTCCGTTATCCTGGAGCAAGTGCCGAGTCAGTGGAGCAGCAGATTGTAAAGCCTGTTGAGGATGCGTTATCCTCCGTTTCCAATGTAAAGAAGATGACCTCATCGGCTGAGTATGAGCGTGGCGAGTGACATTGGAGCTGGAGTTTGATGCAGATGCGGATTCGGCGGCGATAGATGCCACCAAGAAGATAGAGGCTATCCGCAGGAATTTGCCTGATGAAGCAGATGAGCCGGTGGTTTTCAAGCGAGATACCAATGGTGCACCGATTATGGAGGTAGCTATCCGCTCAGATGAGTCGCTTTCAACTATATATTCCAAGGCAGATAATACCTTTGCTGATGTTATCCAGCAGGCTGGCGGTGTGTCTGAGATAGAGATTCGTGGCGGTCGGGATAAGGAGGTCGCTGTTGAGGTAGATAAGGATAAGCTGGCTTCCTATGGTCTGACTATGGATAGGATTGTTTCTGCTATAAGGGCGGAGAATCAGCTTATGCCTTCTGGTTCTATTTACACTGAGACCACTAAATCCGATGTTCGCATGATAGCTCAGTTTAAAAGGGCTGATGAGCTGGAGAAGATAAAAGTAAAAAATAGCAGTGGGCAGGAAATTCCATTGACGGCTGTAGCAACTGTTCGTCATCAGGATGCTCGTTCAGAGCGTTTCGGCAGGCTGAATGGTGAAGATTCCATCAATATGGAAATTTATAAAAACAGTAATGCCAATGTGGTTGAAACAGCAGATAATGTCAAAGAAAAGCTAAAAAAGCTGGAGCAGGATAATCCAGATTATAAATTTGAGATTGTCAGTAATGATGCCGACTATGTAAATCGTTCACTGCACAATACCATTGGTACGCTTATCGAGGGCCTTTGTACTACTGCATTGGTGCTGTATATGTTTTTGCGTGGCTGGCGTTCTACTGCGGCAGTTATGATTGCAATTCCTACATCATTGATTTCTGCCTTTTTCGTCATGTATGTAGCTGGCTTTACCTTCAATATGATGTCACTCATGGGTATGACTCTGTGTATTGGTATTCTGGTAGATGATTCTATCATAGTGCTGGAGAATATAACCCGTCATTTGCAGATGGGGGAGGATTCCATGGAGGCGGCTGAGAAGGGGCGGCATGAAATTAGCATGGCAGCGATAGCCAATACGCTTTGTGATGCTGTGACCTTCCTTCCTATTGCTTTTATGACAGGTATGACAGGGCAGTTCTTCCGTCAGTTTGGCTTGACTATCGTGTTTGCTGGTTTGTTTTCTCTGTTTGTATCTTTTACGTTGACTCCTATGCTGGCTTCACGCTTGTATAAAAAGGGTTGGAAAAATGAGAAGCGCAGACGCTGGGAGATAATGGACAGCATAGAAAAGCGTGCCATTGAGATTTATGAAAATTCTCTGATGTGGAGCTTCGAGCATAAAAAATCACTGATAATAGGTGCTTTGGCAGTATTTATCGCTGTAATGGGAATGGTGCCTCTCGGCGTAGTAGGTACTGAGTACATGCCACGAACTGATGAAAGCAGCTTCGAGATTATGGTACAGCTTCCTGTGGATAAAAATACTGATGAAACTGATAAGGTTATGAAGCAGCTGGAGGAAAAGCTGCGTACTGTGCCAGAGGTAAAGTATTTCCTTACTCGTGGTGGTGGTTCCAGTTCTTATGAAGGTAGAATTAAGGTAAATTTGGTAGACCGTTCTGACCGTGACCGCAGTGTGTGGGATATCACAGGTGAGATGCGAAAGTTTGCTGCTACTATCCAAGGGGCGGATATTCGCATAGCGGAGACACAGACATCAGTAGCTGGTGTGGCGTATGGCGGTCCTCGTGCTGGCGGTGGTGCTTTGCAGATAGAGCTTAGAGGAAATGATTATCAGGCGTTGATTGATACTGCGGATGAAGTACAAAAGCAATTAAAGGCAAATGTGAAGGGCGTACAGGATGTAAACAGCTCCTATACGGAAGGTTTGCCAGAATTGCAGCTGCATACAGATAGAGAGAAATTGCGAGTCTTAGGAACATCTATCAGCGATATTGACACAGCATTTTCCTCTGTAATTTCGGGCAGAGGAGCAGGCTCGTTGCCAAATGACCCACTGAATGATGGACAGGACACTAAAATAAAGGTACGTCTTAAGGGCTCAGATGGTTTCAAGGCTTCGGATATTGCGGCTATACCTGTAGAGGCAGGCGGAAAGCTGATGTTCCTCGGTGATATTGCAGATATTTCCTATGGTAAGGGACCTGTGAGTATCAGGCGAGTAGATAAACAGCGTTCCATTGATATAGGTGCCAGTATCGGTGGCAGACCACTTAATGAGGTGGTGAAGGACGCGAAAGCTGAGCTGGAAAAGATGAATTTAGCTGATAGAGGTGTTACCTATAAATTCAAGGGGCAGGCAGACCGTATGAATGAAACCTTTGAACAGCTGCTCATGGCATTGATATTGGCGATGGTTTTGATTTACATGCTGTTGGCAGTGCTGTATGAGTCAGTGATTACTCCATTTATCCGTATGTTTTCACTTCCACTTGGTCTTATCGGTTCTGTGCTTCTGCTTCTTTTTACTAATAATACCTTGAATTTATACTCCATGATTGGTATACTAGTAATGGACGGTATCGTGGCAAAGAACGGAACCTTGCTGTTAGACTATACTTTGACTCTTATGGATAGAGGTATGAGTGCCTATGATGCAGTTGTGGAGGCTGGCAAGGTTCGACTTAAGCCAATTTTCATGACTACTATTACCATGATAGTTGGTATGCTTCCTACAGCATTAGCTATTACTGAGGGTGCAGAGGCTCGTGTCAGCATGGCATGGGTTATCATTGGCGGTTTGCTTACATCTACAGTATTTACTTTGCTGATTATACCGATAATTTTCCTGTGGTTTGAAAATAGAAGTTGGAAAGGATTTATTAAATGAGTATATTAAATGTACAGAATATTTCACATAGCTTTGGCGGTCGTACTATTTTCGAGGATGTTACCTTTCGTCTGCTGAAGGGTGAGCATGTAGCTCTTGTTGGTGCTAATGGTGAGGGTAAGTCTACATTTTTGTCGATTATCACTGGTAAGATGACTCCAGAGCAGGGCAAGGTTGAGTGGGCTAAGCGTGTAAATGTCGGCTATCTCGACCAGCATGCAGTGCTGAAGGAGGGCATGACTATTCGTGAGGTTCTGCGTACTGCCTTTGATGAGATGTACAAGCTGGAGCAGGAAATGCAGGAATGCTATGATAAGATGGCAGACGAAAATGCTGATATAGATAAGCTGATGGCTGATGCTGGCGAGATTCAGGAAATTCTCGATGCAAACAGCTTCTATACATTGGAAGCAAAGATTGAGGAGGTTTCCGGTGGTCTTGGTCTGCGTGGTATCGGTCTGGACAAGAAGGTTGATGAGCTTTCTGGCGGTCAGCGCACTAAGGTTTTGCTCACTAAGCTCTTGTTGCAGAACCCAGATATTTTGATTCTTGACGAGCCTACCAACTATCTTGACGTAGAGCATATCACATGGCTGACTACCTATTTGCAGGGCTATGAAAATGCTTTTATTCTGGTATCTCATGACGTGCCTTTCCTGAATGCTGTTACTAACGTAATTTACCATGTGGAGAATGCTTCACTTACTCGCTATACTGGCAGCTATGAGAAGTTTGAGGAAATGCATGCCATAAAGAAGCGTCAGGAGGATGCGGCCTACGAGCGTCAGCAGGCAGAGATTGCCAGAGAGAAGGATTTCATTCAGCGTAATAAGGCGAGAGTTGCGACTCGTGGTATGGCAAATTCACGTCAGAAAAAGCTGGATAAGATGGAGGTTTTGGAGAAGCGTCAGGAGAAGCCAAAGCCAAAGTTTAATTTCCAGATGGATAGAACACCTAGCCGTTTTGTAATTGAAGCTAAGAGATTGATTTTAGGCTATGATACTCCGCTGACTAATCCTGTAGATATACAGCTGGAGCGTGGCAAGAAGGTTGCACTGCGTGGTGTAAATGGTCTTGGTAAGACTACTTTGTTAAAAACGTTGCTTGGTTTCATCAAGCCTATATCCGGTAAGATTGAATTAGGTGAGTTTGTAACTCCAGGCTATTTCGAGCAGGAAAGCACTAAGGGAAATGACAATACCGCTATGGAGGAAATTTGGCAGGAATACCCAGGTATGACACAGTTCGAGGTTCGTGCGGCACTGGCAAGCTGCGGTCTTACCAATGAGCATATCACCAGTAAGATGATGGTGCTGAGTGGTGGCGAGGCTGCTAAGGTACGTCTTTGCAAGGTGATGCAGAAGCCAGTAAATCTTTTGGTATTAGACGAGCCTACCAATCACTTGGATGTGGAAGCAAAGGCAGAGCTGAAACGTGCTTTGAAGGAATACAAGGGAACAGTTCTTCTGGTATCTCATGAACCAGAGTTTTATGAGGATTGGGTAGACAGTGTATGGAACATCGAGGGCTGGACTACCAAGATTATTTAATTATGAAGACAAGTAACGAGTATGAAGATATAATAAATCTGCCTCATCATGTATCAACAAAATATCCACAGATGGACTTAAAAAAGAGGGCGGCGCAGTTCGCCCCTTTTGCGGCTTTAGTAGGTTATGATGACCTGATAGAGAAAAGCAGCAGGGAGCATGAGCAGCTTATGGCAGATATAGACAGCGGTATTGGTGATGGCATAGACGATTACTATGAGTATTACAAATAATAGTTCAGAACAGAATAGGTGTTATATTTCCATTGACCTGAAATCCTTCTACGCATCAGTGGAGTGTGTTTATCGCGGTCTAAATCCGCTGAATACAAATCTGGTAGTGGCAGATGAAAGCCGAACAGAAAAAACTATATGCCTTGCAGTGTCGCCATCATTGAAAAAGTATGGTATTCCAGGCAGGGCAAGGCTTTTTGAAGTGGTGCAGAAGATAAAGGAAGTAAATCGAGAACGTCGCCGCCGAAATCGTGGCAAGCAGGAGGGACAGTCATGTCTCAGTGACGAGTTGGAGGAAAATCCACAATTAGCTGTGGATTATATCGTAGCCAGACCGCGTATGGCAAGCTACATGGAGGCAAGCCGCCAGATTTACAATATTTATCTGAAATACGTTTCTCATGAGGATATGTTTCCTTACTCCATAGATGAGGTATTTATGGATGTAACGGCATATCTTAAGACCTATGGCATGACAGCAGAGGAATTGGCTAGGCAGATAATAAATGATGTATTTGAAAATACGCAGATAACGGCAACTGCTGGTATCGGAACGAATATGTATCTCTGCAAAATTGCTATGGATATTATGGCGAAGCACATGCCAGCGGATGCAAATGGTGTGCGTATCGCCGAATTAGATGAAATGAGTTATCGCCGTCAGCTGTGGAGCCACAGACCTCTTACAGATTTTTGGCGAGTGGGGAAGGGTATTGCAAGAAAGCTGGAATCCTATGGTATCATGACTATGGGGGATATTGCCCGCTGCTCCTGTGGTAAAAACAGCTATTATACAGAGGATTTTCTGTATAAATTATTTGGAGTAAATGCCGAGCTGCTTATCGACCATGCATGGGGATATGAGCCTACAACTATAGAGGATGTAAAAAGCTATACGCCTAAAAATAATAGTATATGCTCCGGTCATGTGCTGTCCTGCCCTCATACCTACGAACAGACAGAGTTGATAGTTAAGGAAATGGCGGATAATCTGTCAATGGATTTGGTGAAAAAGGGGCTGGTAACAAATCAGCTGGTGCTGACTATCGGCTATGACAGAGAAAATCTCACCAATGAAAAGATAGCAAAGGTGTATACGGGGGAGTATTCTGTAGACCGCTATGGTAGAAAAATACCGTACCATGCACATGGAACCATCAATCTAGTAGACTACACATCGGTGTCAAGTATCATAGTGAAGTCAGCGATGGAGCTGTTTCAACGAATAATAAATCCTTTGCTGTTGTCTAGGCGCATTACTATCACTGCAAATCATGTGGTGGAGGAGAAAAAGGTTAATACAGCTGATAAAAAGCAGGATAAAATAGAACAGCTTGATTTGTTTGCGCAGGCCGAGCAAATCGAGGAAGAAGAGCGAAAAGCTAAGGAGCAGGCAGAAAAGCTGGCAAAGGAGCAAAGGCTGCAGCAGGTAATGCTGGGAATAAAAAAGAAATACGGCAAGAATGCCATACTTAAAGGAAACAGCTTGCAGGAGGATGCGGTTACGAAGGAATTAAATTCTCAGATCGGCGGTCATAGAGCATAAAAAGAGGAACAGCGTAAAAACTGTTCCTTTTTGAATGTAAATATTAAAATACGTCAGCAAATTCAAGCTTAGGTTTGTGGTCGATGAGGTTCATCTCGTGAGCCAGCTTGTAGAAGGTTTTTAAGCCCTCAAGATATTCGTCAGTGAGATTCCAGCGGATACGCTCCAGATAAACATCTAGCTGTTCACGTGTAAATGGATGCTCGTCAAGAGCGGAGTCGATAATCTGCTCCTTCTTTCTGTAGCCATTGCGGATACCGCCGTATACCTTTTCGTATATCAGCTTTACTGCCTCAGGATTAGCCATGGCAAATTCCCTGTTGACAACCCAGACAGCGTAAACCATGCAGCGGCCTGTCAGCTTTTTCCATTCACGACCTAAATCATAGTAGTAATAATCATATTTTTTCTTATGATGGTAGACATACAGTGCATCATCACCTATAAGAAGGGAAGCAGTAGCATCTGATGGTACTGGCTCCTCTGGTGTAACGTGACGAACATAGTAGTTAGGACGTGCATCATAAGCATTTCGTAGAATTATTTTCAATAGACAATGAGAAGTAGCTGATTTTGCAGTTAAAATAATCTTGTCTTCGTTTAATTCGTAGATTGGTTTGCGTGAGACAAGGATAATACTCTGTACTTCACCATCAGCACGAACACATACATCAGGCAGCAGCAATAGCTTTTCACTGTTGCGGGCATATACTATGGAAGAAACCTCGCTGGCATCAAGGCGGTTGTTAACCAAATCATTGTTCATGATAGCAGGCACACCATTAGCGACCTTTATACCATCAGAGAAATTATCATGCTCCAAGCTGTATGTCAATGGAAGCACATTTAAAAAATTTATATGCCCCAATCGTGGCTTGTTCATAGTAGTGTTACTCCTCTCAGCCCTTGCGGGACAGCAGGCGGATTACTTTGGTACCAGTATTGGAAATACGGCGCAGTGGAGCGATACGAGTCTTAGTCTTAGGCTTCATGTCCTTCACAGTACCGAAATCACCACGCTTCAGCAGAGTGGTCTTGGTCTTTTCTGGCTTGAACAGCTTTTTGAGCTGAGCAAAGTATTTCTCAGGAGTTGCATTTTCCTGACAGAGATACAAATCTACTGATACATAGTCGAGATTAGCGAATACATGAGTAGTCAGGCTGCCCTCTGGGAAAATAACGCAGACAGTCATGTGGTCCTCTGGGAAAAGTTGAGCAGCAGATGACAGCACAGTAAGACCTGCCTCATTCATAAGCTCCTGCAGCTGAGCCTGAAGTGCTTCTAAATTCTCAAAGCGGCTTGCTTTGCACTTGTACATATCTATAGCGATTTGACGAGCTGTTGTTTTCAATGGGGGTTCCTCCCTTTTATTTACATAATTAACAATATTATACGATATCTTTGCGATAATGTAAACAGTTTTAGGAAATTTTATCATAGCAGTTCTTCCTGTATTGCAGCCATAGGAAAATGACTAAAGCGATGGAAAAAGCACATATAGATGTCGTCTGTGCCGAGGTGAATAAACCGCCAACTAATTTGGTGTAGTCACCACGGAAGTATTCAAGGAAAAATCGCGCCATAGAGTACAGCATCACATATAGTGCAAAGCATTGACCCTTGGCATGGCTGGTAGTACGGAAAATGAGCAGCAGTGCGAAGATTACCATATCAAGCTGACCTTCCCATATTTCAGCCGGCCAAAGTGGCTGCGTACCGTAAGTATGAGCCGCAAGGGTGGTACTAGGGTAGACAATACCAAAATTGCCACCAGTAGGAGCACCGAAGGCATCACCATTCAGGAGATTGGCACAACGGCCGAGAGCCTGACCTAATATGATAGCAGGAGCGCATATATCCATCATGTCTACCACGTCAATTTTATGACGTTTACAGTAGATGATACCAGCTGTTACACCCAGTACCACTCCGCCTTGGATAGCCATGCCGCCTTGCCAGACATTGAAAATTTCAGTCAGATGATTGTGGTAGTAATCCCAGTCAAAGAAAAATACATCCCAGAGCCTTGCGCCTAGCAGACCGCTAAGACCACAGTAGATACCCATGTCGGGGATATGCTCATGCCAGCCACGTCCGTCCTGCTTGGCGAAATAGTAGGCAACACCAGTTGCAAGTATGATACTAAGGCTTAAAATAAGACCATAGGCACGTATGGGAAAATCACCAATGTAAAATAAGTATTGATGCATGGAAAAGCCTCCAATTAATTCTCGTATTAATATAATTATTCCATAAATACTTTTAAAAGTCAATGTAAAAAAATCTTGCAATTTTTCTATATATGTGATAGAATATTTAATTAGTTGAATAGTAAAGACTGAGATGAAGACAGTACCAGCAGTGGAAGGTCAAAGCGAGTCAGAGATGGTGTGAGTCTGGCACTAGTACACTTTATGGGAAAATCACTTCGGAGTTGCAGGCTGAAGGCTTGGGCTGGTAGGCTGTGCCGGTGTCCACCGTTATATGGATAGCGTATGCTGGTACGTGAATAGGTGGTTGCGTTGCTGCAATTCATTTTGAATTTTAGCTCGTCCTATTTGGGCGAGTTTTTTTATATTACAGCTGCCAGTACAGCAATTTGGAGGAGGATTCTCGTGTACGCAAAGGTTGACACAAATTTGAATTTTGTTCAGCGTGAGAAGGAAGTGCTGGACTTTTGGAAGGAAAACGACATAGCTCAGAAGTGTATTGATATTCGTGAGGGCTGTGACACCTTTACTTTTTATGATGGCCCACCTACTGCCAATGGTAAGCCTCATATCGGTCATGTTCTGACTCGTGTTATCAAGGACATGCTGCCACGTTATCAGTCCATGAAGGGCAAGAAGATTCTGCGTAAGGCTGGCTGGGATACTCATGGTCTGCCAGTTGAGCTGGAGGTTGAGAAGCTTTTAGGCTTAGATGGCAAGGAGCAGATTGAGAAGTACGGTATTGAGCCATTTATCAAGAAGTGCCGCGAGTCTGTTTGGAAGTATAAGGGCATGTGGGAGGAATTCTCCGATGTTGTTGGCTTCTGGGCTGACATGGAGCATCCTTACATTACCTACGAAAATGATTATATCGAGTCCGAGTGGTGGGCTTTGAATGAGATTTGGAAGAAGGGCCTGTTGTACAAGGGTCACAAGGTTGTTCCTTACTGCCCTCGCTGTGGTACTCCACTGTCCTCTCATGAGGTTGCACAGGGCTACAAGGATGTTAAGGAGCGTTCTGCTATTGTTCGTTTCAAGGCGAAGGATGCAGATGAGTATTTCCTCGCATGGACCACAACTCCTTGGACACTGCCATCTAACTTAGGTCTGGTAGTAAATCCTGATGTTGATTATGTTCGTGTCAAGGTAAATGGTGATGTTTACATCATGGCAGAGGCTCTCGTTGCTTCTGTTTTCGCTGGCGTAAAGTCTACTGAGAACCCAGAGGAAGAGGTTAAGCCTGAGATTATTGAGACCTTCAAGGGTAAGACCTTGGAGCATCGTGAGTATGAGCCACTTTATCCATTTGCTAAGAATCTGAAGAAGAAGGCATTCTTTGTAATGTGCGATGGCTATGTAACCACCTCTGATGGTACTGGTATCGTTCATACTGCTCCTGCATTTGGTGAAGACGATGCCCGCGTTTGCCGTAACTATGACATGCCTTTCATCCAGTATGTAGATGCCAAGGGCAACATGACTGCTGATACTCTGTGGGAAGGTGTATTCGTAAAGGATGCAGACCCACTGATTCTCGACGACCTGAAGAAGAGCGGTAAGCTGGTAAAGGCTCCTAAGTTTGAGCATAGCTATCCTCATTGCTGGCGTTGTGATACTCCACTGATTTACTATGCTCGTGAATCATGGTTTATCAACATGACCTCCGTTAAGGAGAAGCTGATTGCCAATAACAATACTATCAATTGGATGCCTGAATCCATCGGTAAGGGACGTTTTGGTGAGTGGCTTGAGCATGTACAGGATTGGGGTCTGTCCCGTAACCGTTACTGGGGTACTCCATTGAATGTTTGGGAGTGCGAGTGCGGCTGTCAGCATTCTATTGGTTCTATCGCTGAACTGAAGTCTATGTCTGATAACTGCCCAGATGATATTGAGCTGCATCGTCCATACATTGATGCTGTTACCATTAAGTGTCCTGACTGCGGTAAGGAAATGAAGCGTGTTCCAGAGGTTATTGACTGCTGGTTTGATTCTGGCTCCATGCCTTTCGCACAGTGGCATTATCCATTTGAGAACAAGGAAATCTTTGAGGAGCGTTTCCCTGCTGACTTCATTTCTGAGGCAGTAGACCAGACTCGTGGATGGTTCTATTCTCTGCTGGCTATTTCTACCCTGCTCTTTGACGAGTCTTCTTATAAGAACGTAATTGTTCTGGGCCATGTCCAGGATAAGGATGGTAAGAAGATGAGTAAGTCCAAGGGTAATGCAGTAGACCCAATGGAAGCTCTCACTAAGCATGGTGCGGACGCTATCCGCTGGTATTTCTATGAGAACAGTGCGCCTTGGCTGCCAAATCGTTTCCATGATGACGCAGTACAGGAGGGTCAGCGTAAGTTCATGGGTACTCTGTGGGAACACCTATGCGTTCTTCGTTCTGTATGCAAATATTGATAAGTTTTGATGCTACCCAGTACAAGCTGGAGTATGATAAGCTGTCTGTAATGGACAAGTGGGTTCTGTCCCGTCTGAACACTTTAGTCAAGACTGTAGATGGGAAACCTCGCTCAGTACAAGGTAACTGAGACCGCTAAGGTTCTTCAGCAGTTTGTTGATGAGCTGTCCAACTGGTATGTCCCGCCGTAGCCGTGAGCGTTTCTGGGCTAAGGGCATGGAGCAGGATAAGATTAATGCTTATATGACTCTGTACACTGCTTTGACTACTGTTGTTAAGCTGAGTGCTCCTATGGTTCCATTTATCACTGAGAATATCTACCGTAATCTGGTTTGCAGTGTAGATAAGGAAGCTCCTATCTCCGTTCATCTCTGTGACTTCCCAACAGCAAATGAAGCATTCATTGATGCTGAACTGGAGAAGAACATGGAGCTGGTACTGGAAATCGTTGTTCTGGGCCGTGCTGCTCGTAACGCTTCCAATATCAAGAACCGTCAGCCAATCGGTAACATGTACGTAAAGGCAGACAGTGAGCTTTCTGAGTTCTTCAAGGAAATCGTGGAGAGCGAGCTGAACATCAAGGCTGTTACCTTCAAGGAGGATATGGAAGCATATCTGACCTATACCTATAAGCCACAGTTTAAGGTGCTGGGCAAGAAGGTAGGTAAGAACATGGGTGCTGTCCAGAAAGCTATTACTGCTCTGAATGGCAGTGCCGCAAAGGAAGAGCTGGAGAAGAACGGCAAGCTGGTAATTGAGGCTGCTGGTCAGACCTTCGAGCTGCTGCCTGAGGATGTAGATGTAACCATGAGCCAGACTGAGGGTTTCGCTACCCAGCGTTATGGTGCTGTTTACTATCGCACTGGAGGACCACCCTGTCTGCTGAGCTTATCGAGGAAGGCTTTGTGAACGAGATTATCAGCAAGCTTCAGGACCATGCGTAAGGAAAATGGCTTTGAGGTAACTGACCATATCGCAGTATCTGCTATGGGCAACGACAAGCTGACTGATATTATGAGCCGTAATGAAGCTGCTATCTGCGGTAAGGTTCTGGGCGACAGCCTGACCATCGGCAGTGTTGAAGGCTTCAGCAAGGAATGGAATATCAACGGCGAGAAGATTACTCTGGCTGTAAAGTAAGAATATTATTTCATAGATAAAAGGAAACTCGATGGCTTCGGCTGTCGAGTTTTTTCATAGGGAGGTGTATACTGTTAATACATTGAAATTAACGGCAGAGTGGTGTATAATGGAAGAAATGTAGTGGTGGTAAACTATTAGTTTAATTAATTGGTAAGGAGTAGAGGTATGATGAGAAAAAATGGCACTATATTATTAATTGCGCAAATGTTAATAGCTGTATTCATCTTTGGAGTAGGTTCACTATGTTTAGGTGGTATTGAAAAGGCAGAGGCAGCAGAGAAAATACAGATATGTTGATGTGGTTAAGAAGATTCAGGACTATTATAAAATACGACCTAATGATATACTAAATGGAGATGGTCCAGATGAGTACACAAGAAAGGCTAGACTTGTTGTAATTTTCAGAATGCAGGCTATGCGTGAATTACTGGATATTGTAAATCCTGGTAATGATGATGTTAAGAATATTGATGCATTGCCTGGGATGATGGATGATATATTGGAAAAATACGATAAGAAACAGATGCTGGAAGCGATTAAGGCACAGGAGCCAACAGATGAGATGATAGCTCGCTGTAAGTATCTTGTTGAGATGATGGAGGCAGCGGATGCAATAGATTCAGAGCTTTGGCTGGCGAAAGAGTTTTTAGCAAAACGTGTTATAAGCGAGAATACGGATCGATGGGGCAGACCAAAGGATAGAGATGAAATGACAGGCCGTAGAAATCAGACAAGTATTTGGGATGCAATAAGCAGTATTGGTTCTAGCAGCAATGTTCGTTTAGGAGAAGCAGATGATTATATAGAATTTGGTGATGAGTTAAAAAGTGTTACCCGAAAAGTGAGAAATGAAATGGAAAAGCAGATAAAGCTGGATAAGAAGAAGCATAAGCAGGAAAAGAAGTAAAGGATATTGTGAATTATGAAGCGAATAATAAAATTGTTCAATCTTTTTTCGCAATGATATTGCTATGCTGTTCTTTGCGATTTTCAATAGGAAAACTCCGTCTAAGGTTCGGGCAGGTATGATATTGGCGGTACTGTATCTGCTAAGTCCTATTGATCTCGTACCAGATACCCTGCCAGCTATCGGTATGATAGATGATGCGGTGCTGGTACCTATGGCAGTGATGATACTTACCAATATGCTTCCTGAGTCGGTGAAGCAGGAAACAGCTACAAGGGCGTGGAAGTATCAGCGATATATGCCTATCATCATGGGTGGCATTGGTCTGGTTATCATAGCATGGATTTTGTTGATGTTTTATGGTCTATATAAACTGATTTTCTGAGCATTTTGAGCTGATTTCATAATTTTTTTTTGTTGAGATTAGCAACTTTTTTTTAAAAAATTATGATAATTTAGCAGGAATAGAGCGTTCTATATGGAATATATATATTGTGTAGTGTGACTACACATTGTTAGTCATGCTTTTTTACAGTTGCAATATATTAACGGATAGGAGATGATTGTGTGGCAGAACCAATGGTGGAAGTCTTCATATATGAGACTAGACAGTTTCCTCGACCAGCTGGAGCAGATTGCTAATGGGCAGTGAGGAAGGTGGCGGTTTCAGTATTGAAGACGTAAATGAAATCTTTCGTGCCATGCATACCATTAAGGGCTCAGCGGCTATGATGATGTTTGAGGAGATATCTACGCTGGCTCATTCGGTTGAGGATATATTCTATTATATTCGAGAGCTTAACCCAAAGAAGGTTGATACTACAGCCATCACCGATATCGTGTTGAATGCCGTTGACTTCATGCGTATCGAGATGGATAAGCTGGATGGCGGTGGAAATCCTGATATGAGCAGTCAGGAGCTGCGTGATTACACCAAGTCATTCCTTCGCAACATGAAGATTGAGAATGGTGACGACCCTGATGTAGATTTGCGTAAAGCAAAGAACGCGCCTAAAAAGAAGGCTCAGTTCTACATTCCTTCATCCAAGCCAGCAGACCCTCCACCTGTACCAGAAGGAGTTATAGTACCAGAGGTGGGTGGTGATGGTCCACACAACCATGTATTTTATGCTAATATCCATTTCCAGATGGGCTGTGAGATGGAGGAGGTTCGTGCCTTCGGTGTCATCAACAGCTTTAAGGATAAGGTAATCGAGATACATCATTTGCCAGATAAAATTCTTGAAGACGAGAATGCAACTGAGATTATCCGCAATGACGGTTTCCGTATGTGGTTTACCACCGAGATGGATTTGGCAGAAACTCAGCAGGAGTTAGAGCAGACTATATTCCTGGAGAAGCTGGAGCTGAAGGAGCTGGGAAGTACCGCAGAATGTGAATTCTGGCCTACTCCAGCAGCAGTAGCTATCAGTGCTGTGGCTAATTCTGAGCCAATCAAGCCAGTAGTTCCAGCAGCTAATATAGAGGGGGCAGTGATACCTTCTGCACCTATTGTCCGCCAGTCATCAGGCGGTGGCGGAGCAAAGCGTGGTTCTACCGAAAGTCAGATGATAAGTGTCAGGGTAGATAAGCTTGACAAGCTGATGGACCTGGTGGGTGAGCTGGTAATTGCTGAAGCTATGGTAACTCAGAATCCTGATATCAGAGGGCTGGAGCTGGATAATTTCCAGAAGGCGGCTCGTCAGCTTCACAAGATAAATGGCGAATTGCAGGATAGCGTTATGGCTCTTCGCATGGTTCCACTTGAAGGTACATTCAAGAAAATGAACCGTATTGTCCGCGATATGACCAAGAAGCTGGGCAAGAAAGCAAGATTGGTGTTAGTGGGTGAGTCTACTGAGGTAGATAAAAATGTAAATGAGCATATCTCTGACCCATTGATGCATATTATAAGAAATTCCGTTGACCATGGTATCGAGATGCCAGATGTGCGAGTTGCAAATGGCAAGTCTGATACTGGTACAGTTATCCTGTCAGCAGAAAATGCTGGCGGTGAGGTAGTGCTGAAGATAAAGGATGAATGGCGGCGGCATGAGCAGAACCAAGATTATGGATCGTGCCAAGAAGAATGGTCTTTTGACTAAGCCAGAGGAAGAATACACCGATCAGGAGGTTTATTCCTTTATCTTTGCACCAGGCTTCTCCACTAAGGAGGCTGTAACTGAGTTCTCAGGTCGTGGCGTAGGTATGGGACCGTAGTTGTGTCCAATATCAAGTCACTGGGCGGTCAGGTTATCGTAGACAGCGAGGAAGGCAAGGGCAGTGTTACTACCATCAAGATTCCTCTTACATTGGCGATTATTGAAGGTATGTCAGTAAGTGTTGGCAAGTCCAGCTTTACGATTCCTATCAACTACATCAGTCGCTCCTTCCGTCCAGATGCAGGTGCTATTTTCAAGGACCCAGACGGTACGGAGATGATTATGGTAGAAGGTCAGTGCTGTCCCAGTGGTTAGGACTGTTCTCCCAGTATGGTATCAAGGATGCCGTGACAGATGAAACTCAGGGTATACTCCTTATACTTGAAGCAGGCGACAAGAAGGTTTGGCGTTCTGGCGGATAAGCTTCTCGGTGTTCAGGAAATTGTTGTAAAGCCAGTTCCTAAGTATATAAAGAAGCTGATGAAGACAACAGGTATAAGCGGCTGTACATTGCTGGGGCGATGGCAGCATAAGCCTGATACTTGACCCACAGCAGTTAAATAAAATGATTTTATTCATAAAATGTATGTAAATAGGAGGATTCATCATGGATGATGATAAGAACTTGCTAGAAGAGGAAGATACTCAGAAGGATAAGTATCTGACCTTTGCATTAGCTGATGAAACTTATGGTATAGATATTGCTGTTGTAATCGAGATTATCGGTATTCAGATGATTACCAGCGTACCAGAAGTACCTGACTATGTTCGTGGTATTATCAATCTTCGTGGTAAGATTATACCTGTTGTAGATATGCGTCTGCGCTTTAAGCGTGATTTCAGAGAATATACTGATCGTACCTGTGTAGTGGTTATTGAGGTACATGACGTGCTTATCGGCCTTATCGTAGATGGTGTATCTGAGGTTTTGGATATCACCGCAGATAATGTAGTTCCACCACCTGCACTTAAGGCTTCCCAGAATAAGTACATCAGAGGTATTGGCAAGCTTAAGGACAATAAGGATGATGTTGTTCTGCTTCTGGATTGGGAGAAGCTGTTCTCTGAGGATGATCAAGAGCTTTTGGGCAATATGAATGATGAGGCAGCTGAATAATATATTTCAGTGGAGGTATAGGGAAAAGAGGCATAATGATGGGTATGTTTAAAAATATAAAAATCAGTGCTAAGATTTTAGCATTGGTAATGGTAATGGAGCTTATCATAATAAGCACAGCTGTACATAGCTTAGTAATGATATCTGATCTTTCTGACCGCTATCAGACCATTTATACTGATGATGCCGAGGCGGCTCTGATGGGACACGAGCTGGAGGTAGACGTATATTCTATGCGTTACAACCTGTCTATGGGTAGTAACATCTCCAGAGCAGGACAGGGTAAATCTGGCTAAGTCTGGTATTGAAAAGTCCATGAAGGACATTGATGAGCATTTTTCTAAGAGTACTCTGCGTTGATACCACTGCTT